TACAGCTTTTGTGCAAGTACGCGATTCATTTTTTATTTGCAGTTTAATTACCTACTTACAAAATTGCTTGGCGATTTTAATATCGCAAAATTCTATACATATTTGAAATTTTTTGCGTTATTATGAATTTGTTGCAATGGAAAGTGAAAATTACTGATTTAGAAATATGAAACAAATATTAGGTACAGTAATTTATGTCTATAAAATACTGATTAATTATTAATAAATAAGTTAAAAATACATACCTCTCCTATTAAACGCTGGTTCTTAATGCTGNATTTTTTTGTTTCGAAGTTGAAATCAAGGCTTATTCACTGCCAAAAGTCGGTTAAAAATTTTCCATATTATTCGTTATTTCTTATTTTATTCAAAGTTTTTGGTCAAATTCCAAATTTTCTCTCAAACCGTATACTTTTTTTTTTAAAGATAGATAGTATTTATTTACCTCATGATATGCTGCAAAACCTAATTAATCACGAACTTCTGATTTTATGTAGTCTTGCCTGCGATTGTACCTCCCGAACATCCTTAATTGGAAATTGTGACGTTTGTAAACCGATGCGGGATTATATAGGTACTGCTCCGCCATGCTCGAGCAAATTTCCCTATTTCAACGAAATTTACCTAAATAAAAGAATAAATCCACTGCGCTTACATAAACAACGATTAAAATAACGTGGCCGCATTAAGTCCGGCATTGATCAACTTTTTTTCTCATAAGAGATAATTCGACGGGCGGACGTCTAGCCAGTTGTTTTTTCTTTTTGATAATAACAAGTTGTGGTATTTGATACGTTTATACATTTTTCTAAACTAAATTATAAAAAAGTAAAAGATTAAAATATTACTTGCCTAGTGACAACAAATAGTAAAGAATTAACCCTTATTGATTAAGTGTTACGTATTAATAAAACTTCATTTATAAGTATCAATAACATTAGCAATTAATTTTAAGTTTGAGCCACCTTGGTGTTAACATCCTGTGTTTTTTTTTTTTAACCCAACACACCAAGTCATTATATAAACCTTTCTCCGTAATTATTATTTAATTTCATTCGCATAATAAGAAAAATTAAATATTGTGCGGTTAATTTGCACCGGCGACAGAAAATGTTGAAAATGAAACAGAAGTCCTCCTTCCTATTATTAGTAAATCAAATGAAATTAATTAACCAATAATAATAATAAATAGGTAGTAGTAGTAGTAGTAATAAATGTGTAAATAAGTAATCCATTTATAATTTAACTAATGTTACAAATTTCCTTACATTTTAGGTAATATCACTAATTACAATCAATAATATGAAGTTAAATGCATATTAACATTGAAATATTCTTTTTTCTGTTTCATTTCCTAACAGTTTTATGCATTTGAATTGGAAAAATATCAATATCAACCTGAAAAACCACGACAATGTCGTAAATATCCACTCGAATCCTATTTTGTTTTTCTTTTGTTTTAATTATTTATTTATGGTGCTGCTGCGCTTCATAAAGACCATTTTAAAATTTCTTATATTAATTTAGTCCTATATTTTTCGTTTAAAAATGCGTGTAAGTCTATGTATGTACTTAGTTTAGTTACGATTGAACTATTTCCTAGTATACGATTTAAATATTAACTTGAGTTTCTAAATTCTACCAGTTTCATTGTGATTGTATTAGGGTTTTAAATTAAAAAGAGCGGCAACGCAATAGTTTTAATTAAATCGACAAAATTAATGATAGAAAATAATTTTTGTGGATATTAAATAAAATTATTAATGCATTTGTTATTATTTCAGAAAGAAAGTTTAATATTTCAGTTGAGCGTCTGTAATAAAAAATTCTGTCATTCCCTAGGTCTCCCAGTAAGGATAAATTGGATAATACAAGTTAATGGGATATTTCTGAACTGATTTTTTTCACCATTCTGCATTTGAAAATATTAGATGTAAATTTCAGTTAGCTTTCGGAAAAAAATAGATTTGCTTTTTTTTCGGTAGATTTCTGCTCAGGGGTTTGTCAGATTTTTGCAATGAATTCTACGGCGTTCAAAAATTTTTAAAACATGCACAAAACAAAAACTAAGTTTCGGGAAAAGGCGTAATGTTCTTTCTTGATGAGCAATTACAGTGTGGCAAATAAGATTTGTTTAATATTAATGGCTTCTTATTATTGTAATAAAATATTATAAACGTGAAATAAACATTTTTAGAATTTGAGGACAATTTGCTAATCAATGATAGTGCGTATCATATCAATGCCATACTGTAACTGCTTCGATTTAGGCGTAAAGCTACATATACAGTGTGTCAAAACTCTATTAAACATTCGAAATATAAGCTTATACCTTTTAAATGTCAAGCAGAAGATTTTCTTCTACTATTTTGATTTTCAGCTCTCGATAGAATAAAAAAAATGTTCAGAGTAAAATATTGTAATGAGATAATACAATTTAATATTTGTGTGTCTAAAGTATATCCATATACGATAATTTTTTTAATCCAAGTCCGAAGTATTCTACAAAAACTATTTAGCAAGGTCGATATTTTTATGTATATATTTTATTTGGAAATAGTAACACTTTCTATGCAAAGTATCTTCCATTACGCTTTCGCAGAATAAAAATATTGTACAACAACAATATTTTATACAATTTTATATTTTCTCGAATTAAACAAGGGAATGGGAAATAGTTGTTTTTACATAACAATAATAATAATGATAATTCTGTGGCTAACTTCCGCTGGTGGAATTACCTAAGATAAAAAAATTAATGCGACTGCTTTCGAAAGTTCGCCGATATTTTAATCTTCTACGCAAGAGCGGCGGATTTCATGTTTTGTTGTTTAGGTGAATTCAGTCCAAATTCGAAAATTTGCGCAAATGTAGTAAAAAATATGAAAACGACAACTTACCATTGATCTTAAGCAATTAAACAAGAGCATTCTGCGGTTGATTCATGTAATACTAAACAGGATAAATGGTAAATAAGCATAAATTAAGAAAAAAGCTGCATGATCGGTTGATCCGCGTCTGCCTGCTTGGCAGCTAACTACTGATACCACTGGGCCATTAAGGATGTTTGGGAGGTATGTTAAAATGCTACGAGACAAATAAAAAATTGGAATAACGTTCCTCATTCAATTCTAAAACTCCTGTAAAAATTACAAATCGATTCACTACACCGTTAAAAAGTNAAAAAAATGTTCAGAGTAAAATATTGTAATGAGATAATACAATTTAATATTTGTGTGTCTAAAGTATATCCATATACGATAATTTTTTTAATCCAAGTCCGAAGTATTCTACAAAAACTATTTAGCAAGGTCGATATTTTTATGTATATATTTTATTTGGAAATAGTAACACTTTCTATGCAAAGTATCTTCCTGTAGCACGATTTCTTCGTTAAAATTTTTAAATGGATTTGTAAATTTATTTTTCAAAATGGTTGAAATGCAGATGTTGGGCAATTATTAAATTTAATTGATGATTGATCGTAAGGAAATAATAGATTATGCCGATTAATCGAATAAACATAAATAATATGAATAAATGATTGATCAATATGATCGATTAATCGATACAATCAATTGCTTGTTCATTCTCTAGGGAAGACAATACCCATTCTGGACGAGGTTGATTGCAATTTCGCCTTGAAAATATATTGTCTTCAAGAGATTACTTTCTTAATTACGATTAAGTTCATTTCGATTCACACAAATAATCGAATTTTTAGATTAAATTTTTTCAACTTTTTTTTAGAGTTTTACTAAATTATAATAAACTAATAGATTTTTATGCGAGATAGATAAAAAAGTAGTTGTTTTTTTGAGCCACCCTAATAAGAAGGTCGTAAATAATTGTATATAATGTAATTAGGGTAGTTATAGAAAAATAGTGCTGTGGTGGGACACCCTGTATTCCTGTATCTATATTGAAAACAGTTTTTGAAACAGATGTTTTGTGATTAATTTCGATAATTTTTGTCGTGACACACTGTATACATTCATTAGTAAATAGTATATAGTAGATTAGATACCTAAACTTATCATTTGGATTTGGATTTACTAAAACGTGGTCAATCGTCACTATTTACTGTTGTATGGCACGCTGTGCAACTCCAGCACGCTATTCGAGTCGATGAGCGATTTTCGCGATGCGCTTAGTGTTGTAACGGGGGCAGCTGCTGATGCACCGGGGTCCTTACCCTTTCGCAAAAGAGTGGTACACGAAGCCTCTAAACTACTGTCTCTTGGTTTCCACACAGGCGACCCTACAACAGCAACAATAAATTTCATAAAGATTGATTGCCTTTTATTATTATTAATCGTTAGAAAAAGAAATCGATCGGATAGAAAAAGGACTTTTACACTCGAAATTTTTTTTTTTAATTACTATTCATTTATGCACGAAAAATAAAAAATATATTTGAATGATTAATTTTTCTTGTTTACGTATTATGAAGAAAGACAGTGAAAATGTATTTTGGGAAAGAATGAAAACAAAAATGTGAATACGGTGAAAAGATAATTAATAAAAAGTGCGTTTTAGACAGTGTCTTTGCAGTTGTTATTAATGTAATCTATGACTATTTTTTTAAACATAGAGAAGTCCATTAACACTCATTTACGTGGTTGAAACAAAGACTAATTCAAGAATGAACGAATCTAAAAATTGANACACCGCCTTCCTAATTTGACTTGATTAACGAAAATAAAATGGTAAGAAATTTAAGTGAGATTCCTGATCGTTACTTTTAAATTATATAGTTTTTTCCAGGGTGGCGGTCAAATAATTAAACAATTTTATGTTATTGTAACGTTTCTGCTTATTCAACCATCTTCTGACTGTTACTGCTTGTACACTGGAAAAAACTATATAATGGTAAGCGGTAGTAATTGAATGTTAAGATTATCATTCTTCGTATTTACCTCACTACGCGAGAATTAATTTTTAATTTTTAGTTTTGTTATAAAACTCAATATTAATTTGTTATAAAAGTCCTTTTAATTCGTTTTATTTTTCGGTTATATAATTACTATTTCATTTAACAATTATAGCTATTTTTGATTACCTAATAATTAGTCATTTCTAATTTTAATGTTGGGTCGTTACATTTAATGTGCAGAACTCCAATAGACGTACATTTTACATTAAAAGTCGAAATAATACTGTCAAAGCCAACCAAATACGTTACGCTTAAAATGCTTACTTGGCCAGTTTGTAAACTAGCTGTCCAAATGTCTGGCTTGACGGATATGTGTAGCATCATAGGGTTACGATACGGTACAATACTCATGTCTCGTGTCCTTTTATGAAATACATATACACTTCGTCAGTATTGCCTTCTCCTACTGTAATTTTATAATACTAACCGTATCCTTCAAGTCATCCATTTGGACAGTTTATCTACTATTCGATATTCAGTTAGTTTACAAACTAACTAAGTAAGTACTTTATCCGTAACATATGTATGTTCAATATGAATACGAATTCCATATTATTTAACAGTACTATTCGACATTGCGAGCAACGTACCATGCAAAATAAAAGCTGCAGAGGCTACAAAGATATAAAAAAAAATAATCTAAGAGCAATGGTTACAAAAAGCAGTACATGCTTACTAGAGTAATGGATAATGGGAGTGGATTAGTATTATAAGTAACTAACTACACTGAACTGTTTTACGCTAGCACTAGGTCAACGTTGATGGTTTACAGCCACATAAAGTTATAACAGTTTCTTTAATTATTTTTCCATTTATTTGAACGGTAAATATTACCCTGTAGGTTTAATTTTATTATTGATGGAATATGTACATGAGGGTGTGCAGGGTATATTTCTAGTTTAATGTTAAGTTGCAGCAATGTAAATAACTAACACTCGATACAGTGCTGACTTAAGGTGTAACTAGAACAAACGAGCAAATGTTCGTTCACCCCCCTGCCGTGAATCGATCAAAATTCTATTGTTTTTAACGTTTGTGTGATCAGACTAAGTCTATGGCAAATAAATTTATTTTTTCAGAATGTGTTTGATTGATGCATAATTGTCATGCTTTAACCAGGCACAAAAGCAATAAATCTTAAGACAACCTTGCAGGTGAGACATTTAATGGTACCGAAAATAATAACAGTATAAAAAAATGATGAAATTCTCTGTAATTCCTGTGTAAGCGATGAATATTAAAAATCACACGCCATTGGTGAGGAGTCACATTTATAGAATTATCCTCACTAACTGGTGTGGATTGTAACTATTCTTTTCTTACCGCTAACATTAGTTATTAAGTCCAATTTTTATTGCTTTTGTGCCACATTAAAAAGCAAGAAGTGTATGCGAATGAGTTTTGTGATACCGAACTTTCTGTTCGCTTTCCTTGTTTCCGTTCGCTTAGTCTAAACGCACCTTTATCATTCCTCTCTGATGTTTAAATATGTAGGAAAATGAACCGTATTATGTCATATTTTTTGACTACAGTGAATTAAAAGAGAAATATGTTGATTTAGATCAAACTGAAGATTAACAGTTTACAATTCCTACTAAAAGATGCCAAGTGCTTTTCTAATTAAAAGTATATTTGGGTTTTTGAAAATGCAGAAATTAAGTAAAGAAATATTTTTTAGTACATTTTTGTATGTAGTAACTGATCTAGTGACTAGTGGAGCATTTTTACAGAGTTGTGTTTATTTATTAGGGGTCAGTCGTTCTTATGTCAAGGAAGTGGTAAGAATGTGTGTGTATTTTTAGGTAAAAGTTTGTTTGAAATATTGACTAATTCAAAACGAGCATTTTCGTTGCATGAAAAACGAGGATTTTATGATTTAAAAACATAAAACGCAATTATTTGGATTTGTAGAGCATATTTTAGAGTATCTAAACGCCATTATTTACATTTCATTAAATGAGGTGGCTTTGTTGCAAATAAATGAATAAAATACATTTCATCCCCTCTCTCCTTTTCAAAGGTTGGATACGACTCCAGAATTTTCGTAGGTGCTTGAACTACGTTTTAGTTATAATACCTACATTTATTAGTTAATTATCTTTTTTAGTTTGATTTTTTCTCATTTCTACGAGTAAATCTAACGTAGCAGTCGACAACCGAGAACTGTATAATATAATCGATTTATAATCACCTTTTAGGTGTAACGAGTTTAAATATTTGATTTCACGATTAGTCTAAAAACAGTCGATATGTATTACATACAAAGGTAATCGAAAGCAAAAATAAAATAAAATTTAGGAGCATTAGTTTGATAGAAATTTAAAAGCTTGTAAATTATATATAAGACACTTTCAATTATTTATACACAGCATTAAAGGAATGAATTTAAAAAGAAATTGTATCTTTTCTTTACTATTATTCCAAATTTGAATGTAGATCAATGTAGGAAGGCAACTCTGTAATAAATATCAAAGAGAACGATTATTTATTGAACAAGGTTTTGAAGTAGTTAGGTGACCCATTTGTGGGCGACACCGCCTTCCTAATTTGACTTGATTAACGAAAATAAAATGGTAAGAAATTTAAGTGAGATTCCTGATCGTTACTTTTAAATTATATAGTTTTTTCCAGGGTGGCGGTCAAATAATTAAACAATTTTATGTTATTGTAACGTTTCTGCTTATTCAACCATCTTCTGACTGTTACTGCTTGTACACTGGAAAAAACTATATAATGGTAAGCGGTAGTAATTGAATGTTAAGATTATCATTCTTCGTATTTACCTCAATTTCTTTATAGCAACAAATGAAGGTAGGAAATAAATATCTTTGAATAACTGGTCAAAATTTTTTACCAGAATGCATTTAAATTTTTCAACTATCATATTCTTTCTCATACTTTTAACAGAGTTTTTCTTAAATTCTTGGTTCACCCCAAGATGATAATTTTTGTTTACTGTCATTTAATGAAATTAGTATGAAATATTTTGAAAAATTGTATACACGTAAATTTTGTGTAAATAATTTTTAAATTCGTTCCCCTTTTCAGCTGTAAGTCTTCTTTTAAGAGATACCTATAATTTAATATCGTGGTTTTAACTCTAAATCTTTATAAATCCTCTGAAAAACTTAATAGTAAACTTCAACAAGATTCGTTAATTGCACAATTGTAAATAAGCGAGATATCGAAAATTACTTAAACATTATCATGTACCCTATACGTATAATACAATAGTAGTAATTAGTAGATATATAATTTAATAAAATTAATTGAACAATTGCTTCAACAGTAGTGTCACTGTTTCTTATCAGTTTTCCCCGACAAATAGCACTCAACACACGTGGGGTTTTCAATGCTCAGTGACTTTGACGGTTGCTTTAGCGAAGATTTCAGAGGTTTCTTTTCTTTTAAATCGTTTTCGACTTTAGCTCGTTCTTCACTTATTTTTGAATTATCGGTACAAGTTTTAACCGGACTGAGACTAGACCTTCGCGAATGGGGACTAGTCTTTCTCGAATGGTTGGGGCTAGACTTCTTCCTGGAGAGGGGAGTGTGCTTTTTCGGGGAACGATTTGGCGATGGGGTTTTTGATGCGTGCACTTCCGCTTTAACTGTTTTCGTATTAGAGGACGACGAATATTGCTTACCTAATTCTTCGACCTGCATGGGCTGATAATGCTCCGGTTGGTGCGACGACTGGATTAGACGAGCTTGACTGCCAGTGCTGCCGGCCGACAAAGTTGATGTAGTGCTAAATCCAAATATTAAGTGAAATCGACGCTTTTTTTTTTTAATGAACGAACTTCTTTTTAACACCTAAATAAATTGCTTTTCGCGTTCCTGTATATCAGTAAAATAATAATGTAATGGTCAGGGATGTGAACAATTAACTCGGTGAATGAACTGATTTCTAAAAAAAGTGCTTAAAAACCACTAATTTTTGTTAGATTCTATTTCTTCCCTTGACACAATATGTAAAAAGCTGGGCCTATCTGCCACCTGATAAAGGCCACGAAAACGTGAGGGTCAACTTGGCCCCGGCCGATTCAGGTAGGCAGGAAGTCCTGTTCGCGTTAATTGTGATTAAATTGATTCTCAAGTATTTCCACCAGCACAAATTCATATTTTTATACCAATACTTAATTGTTATTGCAAGAAGAGATATTCTAATTTTATCTAATGATGTGAAATGATTAATTACTTTATAGTTTGTATCTTATGCATGATCTATGGTCTCCCCTTTGCCGCTTTTGTAAGAAAAAAAATGGAACTCTTCCACTCCTTTCGCCTTCATACGTAATATATGAATGCTCCCTACTATAGATTTAGTAGCAGAAGCAACGACGTTGTTAAATTGACATTCGTTAGTGATCTATAGCAGAAATTTTGATTGGCTTTATTAGTTTTATTAGTGACGTATGTATGTAGTATTATTTGCGGTTATTTTTTGACATAACTTCTTCCAAATTAAATATAAACGTTCACATTACCTTGATGCTGGATTTAAATTGGGACGTTCCTTTTCTATTGAATGCCTGACATCTGCTTTTGGGTTCATAACTTCTTCCTTTGTTGTAATATTTTTTAAAATGGTCAAATTGGAAAACGAATTGAAAATGTAAATAGATAATTTTAATGAACTTTGCAAATCCTTTTGGTTTGAATCGCACGTACATTTACTTCAAGTATAAATTGTTGGGCAAAATTGGCTGAACTAATTGGAATAGGTTAATTATAGAGTTCGATATTTAGTTATTTTATGAATTTTGTTTTGTTTCCTAACTCGTGAATCATATCATAATAATTTGAATAATATCAGTAAAAATGCCAGGAATTCTTTTAAATTGAGATCATTTTTTGAAAATTCAAAAAGAAACAGTTAAATAAAGAGAAATAGTGAGTACATTCACTGAATTAATTGATCAGCCCCTGTATCCGATAGTATACCTGATACGCGGATTTCTTAATTAGGTATAAGTTACATGAATATTTGTTTATCTAGTTAATTTTTTTTAAGTTAACTGTTAATAAAAACTACAAGTCCACATTACTTATTTAGATTTTTTGTTTAATTTACCTGAGAGTGAGGTGATTTGGGGTTCTTCCTAAATTTGTCTTGGATTTTGTATTTCCACCTTGTGAGTCTTCCTCTCCTTCAGACTTGGTTCCTGGGTCAGGTTTTTCTTGATCATGCCTTTTTGGTCCATCTGCAACAACAAAAGACCACCAAAGGTATTTTTGGGGAACAGCAATAAGGCACCTATACAGGAAGTCCAGGAAATATCAGTACCAAAATGATATGACAACTCACGGATTTTAAAAAAAACTGAATTTTCTGACATACAAGTGTATATAAACCAAAAATTTTTGTAGTGACCACTTTCCAAATTTCACACCCACACAGAGCCATGTTCCGAACATATACTTTTAATAAAGTCTTTAATAAATAATAATAGATACAAAATAAAAACCAAATAAAATAAAATAGAAATTTATAATCTTTACCTGCTGTATCTCCTAACGTTTTACTTCTTGATCTAAAACTTCCGCTCGGAGGTTCGTCAGCTTCTTGACTGATGTTATCGTAATCGATGTTTCCGGCTGAGTGTCTTTGAGAACTCTTCGACTTTTTGATTTTTCCTAACGTGTGCGACCCCTGAATTACGTGAACGGTTTGCTTATTGGGCCGTTCGAGTGTTTGACTGGACATGACATCGCCCTTGCGACTCGAGACCAGAATTATACCAGGACCGGATCCAGGTTTCGTCGATGGTATCGACATGTTCCTTACCGATTCCCTTATGATTTGTCTTATAGTCTTTAGGAAGGCGTTTCGGAAATCTGCAGTGCTGCAAGCAAAAATCGACAAGGCTCTATTTTGTTGTCCTTTCTCAGTGAAGAATTTTATGTGGCGTTGCCGAGAGAAAGAGTTACAGAGGTCCAGGTAATTAAATTAAGTTTAAAATGTAAATTTTTGCTAACGAACTTGCTCATTCCAAAAAGTGTTATTATTGAATTACCTACGAATTTAAATAACCACCTTTGAGGACATGAGCCTTGTAAAAGGAGCACAGAGTAGTACAGTTCGGTCCACGACGCTTTATCAAATTAAAACATTGAATTCACTTTGGACAAGGTTTTAGTCGGAATTAGTAAAATGAGTTCTATTTAATGCCGAGCTTTTCAAGTACTAACGTATAAGTAAGATTTTGTCGATTTACGAAGGGAAGAAAATTAATTTTTAAAATGATGTTTTTATTATTTCAATTACAAAATCACTGTTTGAACTCAAGTTTATTAAAACCGGGGAGTAATACTTAAATAATATGTAATTTTCGTCAGGCAGAATAAGACTGGATTTTAGTAAAGTGGGTAATCACTGCATAGTATAAAACAAAGTCGCTTCCCGCTGTCTGTCCCTATGTATGCTTAGATCTTTAAAACTACGCAACGGATTTTTATGCGGTTTTTTTCGTAGATAGAGTGATTCAAGAGGAAAGTTTATATATATAACACATGTATAATATAGTACAGAAAACTGATAATTTTAGAGGTTTCTAATGTGATGTCGTAAATAAACACATTTTTTGCACTTGCACTTACATTGCAATCGCTGGCTGAACCCTACGAGATAGATCAAAATAATGTACTACAGTATTGTACATCTTAAAAAGGTCTACACAAAAGTCCGCGATGGTATATGTCCATCACTTAGGGATAACCCACAGTAACCATTTTTTATCCTTTACTTTTTACGAGAAATATGGCTTATTTACGAAGCGATTTTAAGCAATACAGCATTAATCATTATCCAATTAAGTACTTTTAAATACATTTTGCATTTAATATAGATCGATATGGCCCTTTACAGCATGTAATTTAAATTAATATTTTCGAAGATATTACAGATTTAAACTGCAAGGACATAGCGGTTACGGCGGTACCGGCTTGTATTGTCTAATGACAAAAAAGCTGTGAATGTTGTAAATAAAGACATTCTGTAGTATTGCACCCGTGCGAAGCTGGGGCGGGTTGCTCGTATGTAAATAAAAATTAAATTGTTTGCCATACCTATTTGATAATACGTAAACTTTTTCTGATCTTCGTTGCAGTTGATTTCTTAAATGAATCAACTCCCATAGAAAATGAGAATCCATATCTTTGGCCGATGAAGCTCGAACTTGTACTTCTGTGACAGGAATTAGTACTTGATATCTTATAATTTCTACCTCTGAAGCATTTGTTTTACTCGAAACGCCCTATAAGAGACAAAAAGGGACAAAATCGATTATTTATTTTCAGGATCAGTTATATTAAACAACATGCATACGTACCATTAGCTTTTTCTTTTGTCTTAGACGTTCTTTACATAAGAAAACTACGGCCGATTTGAAGACGAAGCACATGGCGTGAAGTTCTAAGCCTTTCTTAATTTTTCCCAAAAAATCGGAAATATTTAGCCATTCAACGCCACCGTAATAAAGGAGATCACCAGGACTTAAATCTATCGGCTAAAATTTAATAATTAAATTTCAAATTTGGTAAACCTTTGCTAAAATGAACGTATTATTACTAACTTGTTTACACGATTTTTGATGTTGTCTAAATAAATGATCGAAAATTGCACCGTACTCTTCGTGGATCCTTTGCATTTCGTTTATATGTTCGGCTACTTTCTCCATTCCCTTTAGGGCCTCTGAAAAAGCATATTAATTTTTAATAAAATTACTAAATTAAAAATTAAACAGGAATATAGTTTCGTTACACCATGACTTTTTCAAGTCAAGTATTGTATTGTTACAGGGGCAAAAGATTAGTATGCTTAGATTTGCAGATGATATGGCACTATTAGCATCTAGCAAGGAGGACTTAGAGATAGCTTTAAATAAAGTAGAAGCGGTACTAACAGATCAGTACTGTATGAAAATAAATAAAAGTAAAACTAATATACTGGTATGCAAGGGAAGAAAAAGTAGGGAATGAGCGAANTATGATTGTTAGATGTTTAAATGTGTGGCTTCGCCTATAATTTCTTATTGCGACCTATACAAATGACATCCGCGTCCCCAAAAGATTCGCGGATGCTCCGCGGTTGTGGTTGTGAATGCGAATATTTGTAATATCAGAATGAGTACAGAATAATATTAAAAAAAAAAAGATAAACGTTCCCAGTTCCAATACCAGTTTTATCTTTTAAGCGAAATTAAAAATGTTCCGCAAAAAAAATCATGACATAAAAATGAACCAAATTAGGTACAAGCCTTGAAATCAACATTGCATCTGATAAGCAATGGAATTTTCTTAGCTTATTTGAATTTGAAACGTGGAAATTGTGTGGTACATCTCGTTTGCAAATGATTAATTGTGTTATTGCGCGTGTATGTTCTGATGCGCCTACGGTTTATCTATACAAACATATAATATATTCATTCGTATATGTACATGCAAAATACGGATTTCGTTTTTATCAGATTCAGTAAGATTTTATTGCAGTTAAGATCATGCAAGAATCGAATATTTTTTATAAAATTGAATTCGAATACTTCCATCACCATTTAAAAAGTAAGTACCAGTGAGTAACAGACGTATTCATTTACTTTTTTTTACTAGATATTCTAACAATAAGTCTTATTTTTGGATTTTTGAACCAGTGTGGTAAAAAAGGTCGTTTGCCTATTGTTCGTGCAAAGATAGAAATATTTGCCTTTGGAAGGTTTTGATTTCTTTGTGACCCATAAATTTTTATAGCCACTGCCATGCGCATTTCTTTTGTTCAGTTTCTTTTGAAGTTTAACAGCGCGAAAGGGTTATGTTGCACGTATATACAGATATATAATAAAGAAGATTACTTTTATATACATAAGTTAATTTAATAATAAGCTTTTATAATTTGTCGCATTTCAATGAAGCAATTTGATTCAGTAAATTCTACTACGATATTTTAAATCTTAATAAATATGTACATATGCAGATTACTGTTCGCAAATAGTTAAGGATGTGGGCTGTTCTAGTTTTAGGGAAATGCGAAGTTTAGCTCAGGATAGGAAAGAGTGTAGGTGCGTGTCCAACCAGTCTTAGGACTGACGACCTTATGACGATATTGTATTGTAATCCATTGATTTATTTGAAATACTGTTCAAATCTAATAATTTAACTAATGAGAGAACTTTTCTCGTTTCATTTTATTTCTTTAAGCAACAAGTAGGTTTATTGTTATGTCCATGGGTAAGTCCCTCTTTTATAATCGCTCCTTATCGCGGTCTTCTATTTATTTCTTCATTCATAGCACAGGCTAAGAGGACAACACTTACCGACTAAATGCTGATGTTCGTCAGAATTGGGATCCGTCAGATTTCTCAGTTGTTGCAGTAGCAAAGGATACTTTAGTATTCTTTGAATCGGTTTAATTAAATAAGATTCTAATGTAGACGAATGTTGCTGTCTAGGATTTCTCGCGGCCAAAAATTCCTGCAGCGCCTGATTCCCCTCATCTAAAATGAAATTAATAACAGTAAGATTGCCATCGGATGGACGATGCAATACAATTTGTGCAACTCGATGAATGGACGAATTTCTTACTTGGATGGAGGACCTTTTGTGCCTTACTGTGACTTGCACAGAACGAGCTGTAAAGCTTGAAATGATTGACGTAGTACAAGAATGCGCTGCCGATTGAGAACAGCATGTTCTGGAAACAAACAAATTGAAATAGAAGTGTCGCTGTTGCAATGGATGATAAATGGTACACAAGTGGAAATGTGTATTACAGGCACAACACGACTGGGAACAATGCATGCAATGGAACAAAAAACTAATCGGGAAAGTTGACCTATAATATATCTAGGTACGATGTAGGACACGTAATACAGGGCGGACCTTAACAACAACAACCTATAGTAAAAAGATTTAAGGATGTTTGGGAGGTACAATCGGAGACAAGGGTACATAAAATTAGAAATTTGTTTTTTATTAGGTCATGAGGTAAATAAATACTATCTATACTAAAAAAAAGTATATGGTTTGAGAGAAAATTTGGAATTTTACCAAAAACTTTGAATAAAATAAGAAATAACGAATAATATGGAAAATTTTTAACTGACTTTTGGCAGTGAATATGCCTTGATTTCAACTTCGAAACAAAAAAATATTTAGTTTCAATCTC